ACTAGTGCGGTGACGCCGTTGAGTTTGCTGGTAAAGCAACCGCCTTTTCTCTGCTTCTGCGAACTTTTCCGCCATTTCCAGCCGGAGGCGGGCGTGCTCTGCAGCTAACCTTTCTCGGTTTTCTTCAGCCTTCTGCTTCGCACGGCGAACCTCCTCTTCGCACTTGGCGGTGATCTGCGCAAGTACCCGCTCGCGTGACTGCTGAGCAGCAAGCGCTCGCTCCTCTCGTTGGAGGTTTTTGGTAGCAGCGGCAAGTGCAGCACGAAGCCTCACCTTTTCCGCATGCAACGCACGGTCTGCAAGCCTCGCCTTTCGGTTTTCCAAAATCGAGGTTCGCCGCAGATGTTGCGCAACGTGGTCGGCGGAGGATGAGCCATTGGAAGAGGGGTTAGAATGGTGCGAATGTAGGGATGAGATCGAGCTCCGACGAGATGATGTCGCAGAGGAGCGTCGCGCCAAACTCGACTTTCGCGAGAATCGGGCAGCGATCCGAGCGGGTAAGTTCAGCGGGGGCTTCTGCTCATCGGGGAGCATGTCCACGTCTGGTTCAGTCACGGACTCTGGCGCAACGGTTGGCCCAGCATCGGGAAGCTGTATTTCGATATCTGAATTGCGACGAATCATCATCTGGGTCGCCGACGACGTTTATTGCTGCATTCAACAAGACGGAGGCAGAGGGGTTCTTGGTGGAAATGGCGGGGCGTAGAAAGGATTGATCAACCGCTTTCTATTTTCATCTATCACTCTGCACGGCAGACTTATTGTAATACCATCTCCAGTTACTCGCTAACCCCTGGGAAAGCGAACATCAAAGGTGGGGAAGTGAGTTGAAGGAATTAAGTCTTTAAGTCAAAGACTGGGACATGGCCAGGGAGCGGGAAGATCCGTGCTGCGTTTCAGAATAGAATGCCGGGGAGCAGAAATGAGGGAAAAGAAAGGCAGCAGGAAGGAGCGGAGAACAGGATATAAAGCAAGTTGGACCTGTTATTTGATAAGTAACCAACAAGGACGAAGAAATGGTAGATAGATTATAAGAGAAGGGTAAGAAGTAGGGATAATGGCGATACCAGCACTCTATGCGTTCATTCTCGGTTCATGGATGGCATCATCGTCATCACTGGTAATAATAGTAGTCTAATGATCAGGATTATAACATAACATAGGTCACAATGCAGAGACCTCTTCAGCTGATCTCCGGGGGAAGGCTCTGATAAGCTGAAGCAAGGCTATCTAAAGCATCTATCTACCACTTAGCAGTCAGCATTAATGCAGCATCCCCAGAGAGAAACATGTTCGAATGCAGCTAGCTGCTTACCTAAGCACAGTTCTGGCTGCAATCGGAAAAGAGTTTTACAGTAAGGAGACACTGTATGGATCGGAAAGGGAAAGAAATGGACGTTGAGGAATTTGTTCGCAGTTCGTTTCCTTGTGGGGTACATTTTGCTACCATCTACTGATGCATGTTGATTGTGTTCGAGGTCACGTCGTATCTTCGCGGGGATTGCTACTTTGGGTAATATCCGGTTGCGGCCTCAAATATGCACACATGTGACCATCATTCTTAACAGCTTTGAATGATCGCTTCAGACTACTTTACTTCTTCTCCTTCTCAAACAAAGCGCTCAACAGTACATGAATAATCTGCATATATCTTTATTGAACCCGTAATCCCACTCGCATCTGTCCCTTTCCGCCTCTGTTGGCTCGGAGATAATATGGTATAAAACACAAATCTCTCACGTCCTTGCTGATTGGGACCACATTGTCGGATTCAGATACAATCTGCCGCTTCCACCGGGATGTATCCAAAGTTCCTTGAGAGCCACCTTGGGCGATGATACCCACGTGGTGATCGGGACTCGATCGTACCTCTTCCCGTAAAGGTGCATTCATATCGAAGATTATTGTCTTCATGGATCATCAGCTGCGGCTTCCCTCTATCTCTTGGTGAATGTCGCTTCGTACCTTAAAATGATTATTCTCCCAAGAATTGTCCACATCCTCGACACAGTACACTATCGGTCCGCGAGTGACGTAGGCGACAGGCTGCATCGTTAATGGATGTGGCCTTACCAATTGGGGGCGCATCGGGCAGCTGAGACGGAATTCTGCATGCTGCTGGATCCAGTCTGAGGATAAATACAGATACCCATCACGAAGATCCGGCCGTGAAGGCTGCGGAGTAACCTGGTGGACAAAAATCGTTCAGTTCCTCGACTTCTTCAATCTGCACAACCGTCAAAGTAGAAGAAGAATCACCTACTAACCTCCCAGGTGCTTGCCCATCCAGGGATTCGCAGCCGCAGCTCCAGGTTCACTGGCGGGCCGTCAATATTAACTAAAAAAGAAACATCACCGTGCCATGGCCACTGTGTCTTCTGAGTAATCTCGATCCTGGAGTCCGCGACCTGGAAGCGCAACGTAGCCGAGGTGTAAAGATGTACGTTGACGGTAGCCTTCTGTGTCTCGTTGTTGACCTTGAAGCTCCAAAGATAACCGCCCAGACAGCCCAGCGTTCGAGTAACGTTGGGCGGACAACAGGCACACTCAAACCATTCGTAGCGCTGGGACGAGTCCTTTTCTGAGGAGGCGAGTTGATTTACGTAGGTGAACCCCTTTCCGTCCAAGCTCATTCCTGTTAGTACTGCGTTATAGAGACACAGTTCCAAAATGTCCGCATAGCGGCCCTGAAGTTCAATCTTTATAGGGCATTAGTTAGGTAACCAACCCATGAACAAAAGAGCAGCGTGGACAAAGAAGGGCTACGGTACCTGTAATAACCGTTCAGCCAGCATCATTACCCCAATTGCGGCGCAAGTTTCCGCATAACAGCCACCCTCGTCCGTTCCATGGGGTAAGAAGTAATCAATGCCAAAACCCTCCCACTGTTTCATGGCACCAATGCCGCCCGTCACGTAGGATTTCTTCTCAATCATGTTCGACCAGAGTCGATGCAAAGCGGGTAAGAACTTGTTTGCAACATCACTACTTGGCTCGCAGATGCGGACAAGGTCCGCAACTGAGGTTAGGAGGTACATGGCACGGACAGCGTGTCCCTCAATTGTCTGCTGTCGGGTAATTGGGACATGGGCTTGTTGATACCTGGCAATCCTAGATTAGCGAGAGCTGGTCTGAAGCAAAGCACATGGGCTGCAGAACACAAATTCCTGGTTTGCTTTCAGGTGCAACAAAGAGTCGGACTTACCAATAGCTTCTCGCGGCTGGATAGGCTTCGGGCACTTCATGCTTGCGCTCGCCTCGGGCCTCAGCCTCCACATCGTAGTAATGCCGCCGTTCTTTTCCGCCAGAGGGATTCCCACGCTCCTCAAGGAAGAAACGAGCCAGACGAAGGTGCTCAGGGTCCTCGGTTACTTCATACAGCCGCAGAAGGGCTAGTTCAATTTCTGGATGACCAGGATAGCCAGCCTTTTGTCCCTCCTGGTTTCCAAAGGTAGCTGCAAGGAGCGCAACATATTTCAGAATGGGCGACAACAATTCATCGTTTTTGTAAAGGAGACGGTGGGCGAGCGCAGCTTCGACAAGGTGTCCTGCATTATATCTAATCAAAAAAGGATTAGCTTTTGGTCTGATGCATGAGGGAGGACAAAAGCATACAGCTCATGCATGTCACGCAGGTTAGTAAACCTCTTCCCAGGTTCAACTACCGTGTAGTGAATATTGAGATATCCGTCCGACTGCTGAGCGTTCTGGATCATTTCCACAATCTCCCTGATGGCCGCATCTATTTCTTCGTCTGGATAATCCATCAGAAAATAGCAAGCACCTTCGATCCATTTGGCCACATCCGAATCCCAAAACAGGTGATTGGGCACCGGCCACACTGTGCACGGATCCGAGTAGCTCGGATGCCACTTCAACTTGAAGGCGTCATACCGTCCAGTGTCCTTCAGCATCTGCAGCTGGTGCCGCAGTGTCTGGGATCGAACAACTTGTCGGCGATGGGCCCAGAAGGAGTCCGGAGCGAAAATCGTGGCTTTGAAGCTTTCTTGCGGATATTCCATATTGAATGGAGAATCGGGTATTGTTGAGCAGCGGTCACTGTATTCAAGGGCCTTTTTACCGTATGAGAGAGCTAGGCTTCCCTTATACTGTTGCGACATTCAGATACGGACTGAGCAGGCCCCTCCCCCTCATTCTTGTAGAGGACAAGCTTCTTCGCTGACATTCTCGGCCTTGGATTACCGACGGCACTGAACACTCCACCTCCGTTGCCGGGTTGCCTTAAGTAGATCCTATTGACTTTTTGTGCCGAAGCTACGGAGTAGAGAAGTCGGAGAAGCAGGAGGGTGCAAGTTTCCGGTGGAGATCTGTCTCCGGCGGGGGCCTCAACGTACTACAGCCATTGAAGACCACAGCAAAAGAGGTCGTCGAGGCCGAGGAACAAGACGATACCGCCGCAGACAGAGACAACGAAGTCATCTCTTTTCATATTGAGATGTATGACTTTCTGAACCGGTGATAGACTACTAATCGAAGGAAGTATTGTCCGAACATGCTCCAGAAGTTACCATTGACCAGAAATCGCTCATATTGTACTTTAATATAACACGCTTCACCAGCCGGGTGACTTGTGGATGCCTCCAAAACTCCTTTTGCGCCGCGCACGGTATGCTAGTGATGCAAAACTCCTCGTGAACAGTATCAAATATGTGTGATCAAGGAAGAAGCAGATTGGACATTCCACATCGCTCTGCACCATTGTGACACTCATATGTGTTGTTCCAGTTGCAAATCTGGTATTTCCATTTAACGGACCTCTGAACACCCGAACAATCCATATTGATCATTTCTCATGAAGGCAGGCGGGCCTGCCAGCTTCTGCCCTCACAGCTCCCCTTGTAAATCATCAAATAGCGTCCATGCTGCTAGACAGAGTTAATACATAACCTGTCGCGCAAACTGCCAAATGCTGTCTTTGACAGCCTCCGCAACGCTCAACGCATCCAAGGGTCCCTGGGAACCAGGGCGCTATCGCGAAATCATCGGTGTCCAAAAATGTCAATGCCTTCGTCTTCATCATCTTCTTCTTCTTGGTCTCCACAATCGACTTCGTCGCTTGCCATTGATTCGCCATCTGTTGAGTCGTCACCGTCATTACCGTCATCACCTTCCTCCTCGACCTGCGAGGCCCCGTCGGCTGATTCTGTTTCTCGGTCGAGGAAGCCGTATTTGTATTTAATATTTGTTCCCCACAAACGAAGCTTACCACCAGCATGGTCATTACTATCTTTTCCAGCAAGATCCCCGAAAAAGGGTAGACTTGACTTCGATCTGCTGGACTCACGGCCCGGAGGCAGTCCGAAATAATTACTGATGACTGGTGAGACGGCACGACCTCGAGTCAGGCTATACGAGGAGAAGCGTCCATTCTGCTCTCCAGATGACGATGCGGTAAGTCGTGGACTCGAACCTGCTCCAGAGGGAGAGCTCGTATCAACCCGTAACTGGGCGAGAGGCAATGGAATGGTAGCTTCTTCTTCCGCACCGTGCGAGGAGGACCGCATCGGAGAAGCAGACACATCCCTGTTATCTCCGCCGACCCGATCAAGGGAATCCGAGACTTCGCCATGCAGCAAGCGGATCTGGGCAGTATTGTATGATTCGCACCTGATCATCAATTAGATTGGCGATGACAAAACAGAGCGTGCTAGGCGCTTACATGTCACATTTCAAACCTAACCAGTGATATCGGACAACTGATTTCGCACCACAATCATTGCAGTGAATCAGTGCGCTAGTATCCTTGAACTCTGAGGGCATAGGCTGACTCTGAATTGTGCGATCCAGGTTTCGGAAAGTCGATTCCATATTGGCAATGGTTTTGCTGCATATGGGGCATCGGTAAGAACTCTTGGAGTACTCAGAAAGGCATTTTTGGTGAATACTATGCCCGCAGCGCATGAAGACAACAGTTTCAGGAGACGTAAACATATAATCTCCACAAATTGGACAGTCACATTGAGTGGAGCGCTCGATACATCGATGGGTGTTTTCTATCGAGATAGGCAAACATACACTACACGTCTGCTTCTAGGTCAGCACTTAAAGAAGAAACATAAAACCGTATTTGTTTATCCGAGGCTTTCTTACCCTGCAGTGAAAGAAATCCTTTCCGAGACCCTGACCGATACGGCAGATACCACAATCATTGCAGTGGTAAATACTTTTGTTAGAATCATTATCCCAGAGTTTGCAGATATTGCAATAGTATTGTGCAGCATGTTCACCGCATTGCCGACAGACTGCTGCGGCAGGCTGAGCATGTCCACAGAGCATGCACAGCATGTTCTCTGTCTTCGGTCGATCGAGGTGATGATCTTCTACCTCATCGTGGCAGAAACGACAAGTATACCATTTTTTGCACGCAAAGCATTGTAGTTTGACGTTCCTTTTATAATGTCGGCAACCCAAGCAGGCCTCCTCGACGTCCTCGACATCCGCATCCTCAAAATCGCACACGGGCGAGTTCGATTCGGGCTTAGGAAAGAACGTAGGCCTCAGGTCTTCGGCGGTTAATTTGTATGTGTCCTCGATTTGGTGGCTGGCCGAGGCTGTTGAAGTTGGATTGGTGGGCGCATGGTCGGAGGACAGGCTGCCGCAGTGAGAAATTGGAGTCACAGATCGCTCGGACAGTTGGGGGCTAGATGGCGGCAGTGCCCTTGGTGAGGTTGATATTAAGATCTTCTTTCCCTGAGAAGCATTATATCTCTCAGTCATCAATTCGTGGATCATACGTGCTTTTTCCTCATTGCTGGATTGGAGATCCCGAATAGCGTGGATCTTCTTTCTCAAGACTCCCATTCCGTCATCCTCCGGGAGCAAAAACTGGTCACCAATGTCATCAAAATTGCCATTACGGGCAGACAAATGATGTGACTCTTGCGAACTTGGATTTGCCTCGAAGACCATATTTCGCGGGGAGACAGGTGGAGATTCAGCTCCCGTCACTTCAGGCGCAGCGTACGTTCGAACGCCACCAACATATTCAAAATCACTCAGGCCACGAAGGATCTGCGATGATACAATAGTGGTTCCAAAACGGGACTGGCTTGGTGATATATCAGGGCGCCGACTGCTCAGTTCAGACGACGCCGGTGGGGAAAGTACGAAAGGAGTACCTCCAGCATCCGAGCAATCCCCATTCAATTCTGTTGTCGAAGCCTCGTGATCACCCTTCCTACCTGATACCTCAGCGCGGTCATCGCCGTTGTAGGTTGCTGAAGAGCTGCTGCTTTGTGTAATCGGTAGTGAATCGGCTAGGTCGTCATCGTAAGGCGGATGAGAATCTGTCTGATTTGAGAGACGACGGGCTTGCCGAACGATGGTTTCGATCAGTAAAGAAGAAATGAGCCCACTCATGAAGGGCCTGAGACAACATCTGACGTTGGAAGTAATTGTTTGAAATTCCACTCAAAAAGCTGGGGTTGAAACCATTATTAACCTGAGTTCTAAGAAGTTACTGGAACAGGCACAAAAGACATGTGACGCGCTGGTGCCCAGGTCGGCCGCTGATTCGTCGCCTGGGCCCCAGATCAGAAGGTAGGTATGACGGCGGCCTCACTCCTGAGCGTGAGGTAAATGAGTATCTTCCTTAGTAGTGGGTCCGAACCGACCTCGGGCAATAATGGACAAAGCATACAGAGTATTTACTCGAAGCTTGGGGCAAATTTACTCTGATACAAACTATCGCTACGTGTGAAATTACCTCTCTGCAGGCAGAATAATAGTGACAGTTCCTCTATGAGAGAAGTATAGGGTTGGTAGATGTTACATCAGTACCAAGCATACCCGAGTGATGTCCGTTGAAGTGAGCCCTGGTCCTGGTCATGAATACACCTTTACTTACTCCCGTGAAATCATTCTCCTTCAGATGATTTCAGATCAGGAGACGTGGTATTATCGTCCAATAAACCAGGGTTGGGGAGACGAATTTCAACCCAGGTGATTACGTTCAGCAAGAACCGCGATCTGAAAATATTCGGAGGGAAGTCCAGTATCGTCGGGAGCCAACGCACTCGAAACTGACCATATCCCATGAACAATCTCCTTGGCTGTAATATCACCTGAGACACGTCCCCAAGCTTTCATTCAGTAGCATTAGTGTGCGATTGAAATGCTCATTGGCATCTTTGCGTGTGGTAAATTCATTTCGGTCATTGCCTAGTCCTCTTAAGCTTATGAAGCGCAAAAGTCAGCTTCTCCGGTGACCCCGCGACAGCCTGGAGGGGGCTTACAGTTTCACATCTTTTCTCACCTGTGGTTGCTCCCAATACCGGACCATCAGAAGATTCTTCACAATTCTGTGTTCCAATCCAGCTACATCGGATGCGCGTTGGAGGAAGCGCAACGTATTGGCTACCTTCTTTGGATCGAAATCACGAACGGGTGAAGAGCGAAAGGCTGATCGCAATGTTCGAAGGAGAACATGCCGAGATGGAGCAGAATAATTAATCAACTTGAGGCCTTGCCGGTAGAGATGCCGATAAGCATGGATGATTGCTCTCTGTTCCATCACAGGCTAGAGAATCTAAACTTCACAACTCACCGGATGAACTGTAAGAGGGCGCTTAAGGGATTGAAAAGGTGCTGAAATCAGAGACGTTGTATCCGAATGCAACCCTTTACAGCTCATTGGTACCCAATTCTCAGGGTGAACATCCCCTCAGAAGCAATGTAGATAAATCAACTCAGCCTATGGAATTTGTTCCAGGAAAGTTCACTTGCAGTATGGAGTTGGGCCAGGCAGGTGAGGGCGCTAACTTGATTTGGCGCCTACCGCGTGTTAGGCCGCAAATGCAGTTGACGCCTCCCACCTTTTCTATATCTTACCACTCTACCCAACTACTACCACAACTACATATACTGGTCTCAAGATCGCTGTTTGAAAACCGAACTTGATTCAAATCATTTGCTTTCTCCGCTTTTCTGGCTTGAGTGTATCCAGAGGCCGAAGAGGAACAAGCTTAACATTCTTCTATCTCATCCTCTGAGCTGCGATTCGCGGTTCAAGCTCACGCATTTGCGTAGACATGGTTGACTAACAGATTCGGCATTAGCATAATAACTTTCTCTCTCCTCCTTTGTTTCGTTCTATTTGCCTTTCTTTTCCCCTCGATGATCCATCTAGTGGGTTCTTTTTCCATTCGATCGTCCATTCACCATTTGATTAAAAAGATGCTCTTAGTATCGAAAGCTGTCCGTCTGCTGTAGTCTTTGAAAGAGAGCCGACTCAGTCGCAATATGGTCCGAGTATTTCGGGGACCTGCCTCGGCTTTAGCCAGGCGTCTTCCAAGTAGGACCACCAAGCGGACTCTCCGAAAGCATAAGGTGATCCTTGAATCTATCACACAGGAGAAAAAGAAGCTTCGGAGTGTTGTATGCTCCCTTCCCTGTTTAGTACGTTGAGGAATGGGCTTGACGGCAAAGACAGATATCATTCGAAGCTAAAGCACCACCCGGCTACACTTTCATCCCCGCAGGCAACCCCCAGCTCACAGGTGCGTGCAAGGAATTATGCCGAAAAGATGGTCTGAAAGTCTATGCTGTCACGGTATGCTTGTTAGCAACCTCCCTGTATCCCCTGTCATCATCCCAGTCCTTTTGTTTATCTCTGCTCTCGCCCGGTTCTCATAATCAATGACTAGACAACTCCTCATATGCACTCCCACAACCTTTCTCAACATGTGCACCGCATTGGGTATCATTTTCCAAGCGCTGTTGTCGCAACTGTGTGTATGGATCTGGGTCTACAACTCACAGCAACTGGGAATGTAATGCCGGTTCACAGCAACGCTGCTGCTGGGGAAAGCAGACATGCTAACTCTGAGGCTTCACAAATAACAATCAACACCGAGGCTAGGGACGTGCTGAGAGACCTCTTTCCAAATATACCAGACAACGATCTGAATCAGATCATCAAGACGGCGTTCCAGAAGGTATGAAGATCAAATCGGGTGCGAAAGCAGCGGCTCGTCTATTGTTTACTAATTTTGAGTCAAGGGCCAACGCAAAGTCGGTACGGCTGTTGAATTACCTCTAGCACGTCGGGCACAACTAGCTGTCGTTGCACACATAAGGCATATCTACACTGATTATGATCGACTTCTGAAGACAACGTCGTTTCACGAAGCCCGAAGCGCGGTTGAAGAGCCCACTTTAGCTAAGTTAGTGGAATGGCGAGGTGACGATGAAAACGGAAAGACGGTTCTTGAGGATGTTTTTCGCGAGGTCATTGTGATATCCGATGACGACGACAGTGATGCCGAGGAAGGAGAGGTCTCTCGTTCGGTCAATCGAGATCACAGTATCGAAATCGTCTCTAGCCACCAACGAGCAGAGGAACTGCAGACGAGGCCGGTCAACTTCGCTCATCCAACCGTGCAGGAATCCCATTTGGACATCTCAGATGATGAACCTCCGCCTGGTTTCCGTTTCATTCCTGAATTGCCGAAAAAGCAGCGGGTCGATCGTCGTGGCTTCAGCAGATATCATGCTTGGGACCGTGCCCTCAACCGATACAGAAAGGGGACTTACCAGCATAGGTTTTACGCAGACTCCACCGGCCATCGAGGGCCTTTGTTGACCGCAAGACAGCCCGTACAGGAAAGTATCACATTTGACCCAGGAGCTGCCTCTCATCGACCCATAACAACACTCCGCCACGTCTCCTTTGGCCCGCACATCGCATCTAAAGCAAAGATCCTTGACCATGGACAAAGGAGAACTCTGACGCGGCCGTTGATGGCGAATCGTGTAAGTTTGCAGAGAACCGATGCCGAGCGGTCCGGTCCTGAGGACGCACAGAAGACCCATATAAGGCCTCCACTGATATCTCATGAGCCATCCAATCTGGAAACAGTTGTACATTTACCAAATCATAGAAGCGATGCCAGTCGCTTGGCGGATCGAGCTTTAGTGGAAAACGTTTCAGCTGATCAACAGAGAGCGCGTTTGGACCAGCGGCTTAATTCTCCAAATACCCCCGTCTTCGTCGGTGGTCCAACAGAGATCCAAGGACGGAGCAGAGTCCCATCCGGCGCTATGTCAAGAATTCCTGGTCCTCCATACCTTGGAATGCAGCCGAACCCGCAGGATCACGTATTACCCTCTATTGAGACCCCGCCTTCGCCCCAGCAAATAAGGCGCCCACCAAGTGCCCACCTAGATCAACTTACCAGGAGGATATCGGGAGGATTCACTATTCGTTCAGTAACACCACGCCGTCCGACTCCGCAAGACTCATTACCTCAGGGAGAATCAGATGTTACTCGGATTCCAGCGTCGAAAAGGAGACGTGTGGCCAACCACGACCCTGCTACTTACAATGAGCCTCGGTCCGATGTTGCGCCCATTGTTCCTGTGGATACTCATGCGAAACAGCAGTACGTTTATCTGGGAGATGCCTCACCAAGATCATTTACTTCCCAGAGTGGGGCTCCGATCCGTAGGAGATACATGGTACCCGTCAAATCCTCTTACCTTGCAGAGCGCTATCCAGGGGAATCCCAAGGCCTCTCTAACTATGCCACACAACCCGTCCCAGAAGTCGTGGTTGATCAATGGCAATATTCTAACTTTAAAAGCAAAACAGCCTGGGAGCATCAGCCGAAGCACCAGCTGGAGCAGTACCGGGAGCTGTATCCTCCTCACAGATCTTCTGGGCAAATTCACGTTTCATCAGGTGCCAGCTATGCTTCTGCCCCTGCAAATGAGAGCTATAATGGTGTCTCAAAGCTGCCTGACACCGCTTCAGAAGCTGGACGTGTTTATGAAGATCGTCGAATCCATCAAGAACAGGTTAGAGAAGCGACATATATGCCAGTTTCGCAGGGTTTTGGGCATCCTCATCATCGAACCTTTGATCCTTATGGGACATCCAAAAGAAGCATATATGCCGACGACTTCGTACGTCCTATTGATTATAGTGATGATGTACGATTAGTTAATCAACGCCAGCACGGCCATGTGCAAACAACTGGACCTATGGATTCTCTTCCCGGACCAACTAATGACCACGTTCGACACTACTCAAGCAGGGAATTTATTAATCTGCCGCATAGTACACTCGTCAATCCAACACGTACAGCTCCAAATCATCGAGGCGCGGAAATCAGTCGGCGCGCTCATGATCAAGTCCTTGTGGATGATTGGGGTCCTAGCTACTACAGTCGACATGAAACATACGGTTCTTCACTTGCACTTGATCGGGATGGCAGAGGCGGCGAACCACAATTGCAACAGTTAGGGTATGATCTCGACCAGAATTTTTTCGCGGTGGAAATGCCTGCTTACATTTCACCAACCTTCCCTCTCGACCTTTTCTTTGTTCCAAACATTGTGAGCTGATGTTTCTATAGATC